GAATGTTCTAGAAGCCTTCTGGCCAATCATGGGCTGCATGGGCACTCCCAGCTGGTCCCAGAGCCCTTTGCAAGTTCTTTGTTCCTCACCATAAGCTGCCTGGATGTCATCAGTTGCAGCTTCTTGTTTCTTGAGGCCCAGTGTTTTTTGTCTGTGGTGTGGCTGTGTGGCCATTCTCTAGCCTGTCCATTCCATGACATGCTCCCACACTGTGTAGGTATCAACCTTGTTGCTGCTCTTTGAAGATGGTTCCACAAGCTGGATTTTCAACAGTCAGATCACCTAATACACAGTTCCGTTTGTTGGGTCACTATCCTGACCTATTTTTCATGCAACATTAAACTGACTGACTTAGTTTATGTTGTGCTTCCAGATTTTCTGCTTTCGTTTGCAGAGCACTATATTCATCAAGTCACTGTTTTTCTCTCAGCATAACAAATGTTATAATTCAGCCCTTCAGACCTCCTACTAAGTTCACAGGGAACTATTATTTTCAAATTACCAGAGACCTCTTTTTATTGCCTTATTTTATACTTTCCATAATAAGGACTTATCTAAATCTCAATTTTCAGTGGTGGAATATGTGGAAAACAGCACTAACATCAAGAGAACTGTACTATGACTTGAATGGAAAGAAGGAGAGCAGAGAGATCGGGCGATTCAAAAATAGTCTGATAGCAAACAGGGTGATAGAGGGGCTGGAGAAGAACACTCCATCTATTAAAGTTCATGTTAAGTCTTTCAAAATTATAGTGAGATCTTACAATGAGATCTTTCAGAATCTCAGAGTGATTTTTATTTTGTCCTTTGCTTTTGTTCCTCATTGGACTCCTTATGCTTCCTTTACTGCTCCCTTCCTTTTCCCCTCTTTTTCTTGCACTTGCCTTTTCTGCACTTATCTTTTGCATCCCAGATGGCCTACTCTTTTCCCCAAAAAACCTATTGGCTGCCAAGATCACATCTTTCAAATTCCTCCCTAAAACCTATTTCATCAGGGAATTTTCGCTTTTTATCCAAGCCAGATGCCTTTCTTGCTCTGAATATTTTTTCCATATCTTTTCTTCTCTGTCTTAAGGCCAACATATCTGGTAGTCAAGGATTATCAGTAATTTTCTTTCTTGAGACAGAATGAGAATTCCTTACAAATTCACTGTTTTGACTGAAATAGCCTAAGGGTCCTTCTATCCTTCTGTTGTTATTCAAAAGCTTCCTCTCTTTAAAAAAAAGAAAAAAAATTAGTGTGTTGGAGGCAGGGAAGGGGGCAGGGATCACCTCACTGTTGGCAAGAAAATGGTTCTAAGGAGTCCAGATTTCTAGAGTTTGCTTTTCTGTGTGGTATAAAATTGCTTGAAACAAATAACCTTCAAACAAAACTGCAAAATCATGTCCTTAGTCATACTTCCGTGAATATTAAAGGTGTGCCTTTATTAGTGTTAAGGGATTAGAAAAAGAGTTCACTAGGAAAATGAGTAGTCCCATTTAAATTTGCTGGAATGTTGCTCTACATTATTTACCTAGACAGCCATTGCCTTCAAGAACTATTGGAAAAATGTCATGGTTTCAAAAAATAAAATAAACATTTAATAACTGCTGCTGACACTAGCAGTCAGTTTTCAGGGGCCTTGAAAGGACATGCTCATTTCTCTTGTTAAATTTCATCCTCTGTGAAATACTGACTACAAATTCACTAACATTATAAGCAATATTTACATAGAGATCAACTAGTGCTCTTCTCATGTTTCATTCCAGTAAATTTCAATGGTGCTGCTTGGCACATAATGGGAGTAACATGATAATGATTCAGTCCCAGAGAGAAAGGGCCTCCTTAATCACCTGTGTAATATTTGCAGAGTTTAAGTCCTCATTTATTCCTGTTCAGATCACAAGTCATCATACCCATGTACAGGTATAATTCAAAGACATAGCAAGGATATTTCACCATCAGATGGAGACTCTAATACTATGAACATAGTTACAAACATGCCTAATTTTGAAAGGACATTTCTTTTATTAACAGAGTGATTATTACTAACAGTGAATACATTTCTGAGAAAAATCCACCCCTGACCTTTGAGTCAGTAAACTGGCAGTTGAGGAACAAGTAGGACCATATACTTCTTTTTATTCTGGCTTGGGCATCATCCTAAACTGTGAACAAATGTGCTTATGTAAGTCAGATCGGACTATGAAATTATTGAGCCCTTGTTTGCCTCCTTCAAACATATTTAAACTCCTTAAGGGAATGACACACATACTGAATTCCTTAAGCTTACTAGATGCCAAAGGGTATATCTCTTTACACAGGCATTTCTTGGGAACAACTTCAGTGTGGCATCAGATCAATGCAAATCTCTATCTGACTCTGATGAAAACTTTAGGTGTTAAACCCTGGCTGAATGACAGATTCTCTCCCTTTCTCCCTCTTTCTTTTCACTATACATAATATGCACATAAAAGCATTTCTCCGACTCAAGGCATTTGAAATATGGCAACTTCAAGTTGCTACTAGAAGTCACATTTTGATCACATTGAAAAAATAAAATCGACAGGACAAGATAATTTCCAGCTTTCTTTTACCCATCAAGACTATCAAATAGGAACTAAAATACATATTCGCAATAATGTTGGGAACACTATTAAAGTATTTTAGACATTCAAGTGATAAAAAAAAAATATATATATGCATACAAGGGTCCAATTCGTCCTTCTCCTAAAGAGCTGTATTATGCTGTGTTTTACCTTTCCTTGCATTGTATTCCAAAGTCATGCTTTGCTTGGCCTTGCAGTCACAGGCACCATGGTAGGACTGGATTTGCGGTTCTGTGCTGCCAAAGAACACTCTGATTAGCCCTAGTCTGCTTCTAAGAGCTGAATGGTTACAGTGGTTGGACCAGAAACCATGTGTGAGCCTGCTGGCTTAATGTCACCAAAAAGGAACCCCGTTTTGCTCCCTTGTATCCTTCTTCCAGGTAAAGAAGTTAAGTCGGGAAGATCAGGAATATAATTTCAGAATCACCCTCTTGATCCAAGAGAAAATTAAGACAAAGGCTTAATTTGACTTATTTATTCTTCTTTGAGATTTCTAGTCTTTAATACAAAAGCAGAAGATGGTAAAGATTTTTTTAAGATCCACCAACTCTACAAATGACTTTTCATTCTTTTAAAATATGAAATCCTTCACTGTATCTATGTTTTCACTACTGCTATGTTCATTGCCACTTTTAAAGACTTTCAGATAATTTTGCCATTTTTTTACCTGCAGCTTATTTTTAAAGATTTTTTTTGTTTGCTTTTTACTTTATTTGTAATTTATATTTATTTCTGTGCTTTCTTCTGTCTACTATCCTCTGTAGAAAAATCTCTGGTAATTATATCACAGTACACTATTACTTTTGATTAATTCTTCCTTCTTTTCATTTATTAGTCTTTTACTTGTTTCTTATATGAGACCAGAATTGAATTTGTTTGAAAACTATGTCTTATGAAGTTACTTTAGAGGCATGATTATGGGATTTGGAATGGATGCCTTCCAAAAAATAGATAGTATAGAGGCTGTGGAGAGAAATACCACAAATTTTATGTCCAGTTCTTAATGGAAAAAGGCATTCTAAGAAGAGTCATAGGCTGAAAGTCTCATCTGTATTTTGTTCCAACTATAACATTCAAAAGAAAAATAATTTAAAAGTGACCAGTGTGTCTAAATGAACAGAACCCTGTTTCCTTTTAATACTGTGAAAATTCTCCATACTTGATGCTTAAAAATTTTTGTAGTGCCACGTTCTTATTGCTGGGCAGGGCCTGTACTTCGCACCAGGCTGTCTGTAAGGCCGAGCCCGTGGAACAAAGAGGTGACTTGTGGCTCTGGATTCAGTCCTGACAAAATATGAGCCTGTCAGCAGCAGGCTGTGACTGGCTCTCTGAGGGCACCATGCCAGAGCTCACCTGGCGGCTGCTGGTGCTGGGAGGCCATCAGGGGTGCTGGCAGCTGGGCCCCTAGAGAGCTGTGAAAGGCACCTTGGGACACGGGTGTTTAAAGAGGGTCCTCAGGAGAACAAGCAGCTGTAAGGAACAGAGCAGGAAACAGGATGATAAAAGACAATGGATTAGAGGAGAAAAGAAGACGGAAGAGAACAGGCTAGTTACATGAAAGTAGGTGAGTACAGGGAAAATGTAGCAGGTGTAAGTCACAAAGGAGATTGCCTTCCCTCCCCTCCTCTTCTTTCTCTTCACGGTCTCTTGCCCATAAGTCTGGTAAGATTTGTTATGCACTTACCATAGCCAAGTGCTGGCTCTTTGCAAATTGTTTACTGTTCTGTGTGTTCATGTTTTTTCCAGTTGTAATACTGGCAAAATGCTGGGGTCTTTATCCTCCATGTAGCAGATGTAGTTTATTTCTGATGACCTGAACACACCACTGGTGCCTCTGGTACATTTTGCCCAGTGGTAAACTGGTATAATAGAAAAGACTAATGAAGGGAGAAGAAATAGGTTTTGTAGGTGAACTTTAATATTTTTTTAACACACAGATTACATTCATGTAGCATGATGAACAACTTTAATAGTCTGAGAATGTATCTAGAGAAACATAGAAACATCTGCTGACTACTCTTTAGCATTTTTGTTAAGGCCATAAAGCAAACGCAAGGAGAACTTGACATCTAACACTTACAAGAGCACGTAAATTCAAACTGTACTTGCAGAATATACTGTAAAAGGAAAATTTTCATAACACTGAAGAGAACTACAACTGCAAACAAGAGTAGATATTTCTGGATTTGGGTTTTAAAATGAGTTAGCTGTGAACCAGACATTAAAGATTTTTTTCATAATCACATTAATTTTTTCTATGCTATTCCTTATATTGTTAATGTAAGAAGGTACCTCTTATACAGTCAGAAAGCAGAGAAGTTAATGTATCATGCAGAAAACAAGACAACTGAGAATTCACATAGCCTTTTCAGATTCATTTGAAGACATTAATTTCTGCACCTCAAACAGCATTACGAGTTCTTTTGAGGGATTTTGATGGTGACAGTCTTAACTTCTGTGTATTCATGAAGACCATATTCTCCCCTAGATAAAAGAGAACCAAGAGTAGCATTTATGCTAATGCTTTTTATATGAGTTTTTTCTGGATTGGATTTTCAGAGGTAGTGTGCAATTGGCTGGATGTGTAACAAGTACACTGGACATATTTGGAAGACAGCTGTGCAGCTAGACTGCTCCTGGAAACCTTTTGAAAAACTGCAGCAATGGTCTCCTGATAAAAATGGCAGAGAGAGTAGTTTTATTTCTGTGAATGGTGTTTAATTTAGAGTATTTCTAAACCAGATTTCTGTACAGCAGATCAAGAGCATGTTAGATCTTCACAAGTATGTTCAGCAAATTATTTGTAAAGCTCTTCTTCTGATGTCAAGAGCTTTCTCCAGAGTCAAAGAGTATGAACTTCATCTCAAGTAAATGGGGGACAAAACTATTCCACCATGAAAACTGAGACAGTGAAAAAGAGTTTAAGTCTCTGACATTATGAACATGTTTCACCTTTATGTTTTCAGTGATGAGATGAAGCTTGTTTGTATTCCTAACTATTTGACATCTGGTGCAGTCAAACTATTTAGACATAACTGATTGTTCTGCGGAACAAGGGTTTGCTACAGTATAATGTTACACAGATCTCACTGCTGTCTTATTAGATAGATATATAAGCATAACAGAAATCTATGCTCAGGACACTTGTGCTGGGTGAAAAAGTTTACTGATTCCCTCCATTTTTTGGAGAGGAATTTTGTTAGTATATGACATTTGGTAGTTTAATTCATAATGGCATTATCACTCCAAGAATTATATGGATAATTTTATTTTGAGTTCAGGGAAGTCAGTGGCTTAACACAACCACATCCTATTTTTTTCAGTATAGGTTTGTTTTTCCACTTCTCCTAAAAATGATTGTCAGATATTTACAAATTTTCTCATTACAGACATCTACCTGGTGGTGAGTTTTTCCTTGTCCTATAGAGGGAATGTTTTTATAGGTCTGATAATTGTGAATTTGAACCTGAAAACTTTGGTACAATGAAAGATTCCTTCATTCAAAATGTACTGTTATAGAGAACATTTTTGATAGTCTGTTATTTCCAGCAAATAAATCAAAAAACTATTTCTGAAAAAGACTGTAATTCAGAATTGATTATCTCCCAATTATTGGCACCCGCACCCAACAAAGGAAAAGCTGAATTTGATAAAAATGGCCTAAATTATTAAAGGGTTTCAATTTCAAGTTTTCTAAAGCTCTCAACATTGGCTTGACTGTTTCCTTTGAAGTCAGTGGGAGCTTTGCCATCAGAAGCAGTTTGTGCCCAGTGATGAGCAAGTATGAAAGCACTAGCCGTTATCTCTGAAGAAACAACATAAAGAGAAGCTCTGCAGTGCCTCACCCACACATATCTGATCAAAAGATCAAAAGGCTACAGAGGATTATTTTTATCAAAACTTTTGACCTGGCTGGCACATACTCTAAAAACATTATTTTCACAAATTTTAACTGAAAAATCATGCTTAAATCAAGGATTTTGGGAAGACTTGTGTTTTCAAAACCTAGCATTTAAAGGGGATTTCACAAAAACCCCACAGATTAATCTTCATGAAAATGAGAGTTTCTCCATATATGCAAAAACTGTAAACCATAAACACAATGTCAGTTTTGCTTAGCAGTAAACCATGATATACTGCGAATTAGTCATATCGAAAAAGCGTGCCCCTAAGAAATTTTCTTATTTATTTTGTAAAAGTATTGCTGGTTGATGTTGCCTCTGACAACATGATGTCTCTAAGCACTCTAGAGACTTATTTGCCAAAGTCTCAAACTGGACATCCTAGTTATGCATATTTTAAATCAGGGTTTGGAATTTCATTTGAATTTCCTGTGAATCTACAGCTTTAAAAGTATTTACTTACATTTCTCGTCCATTTCCCGACATCTTAAAACCTCCAAAGGGACATTGAGCAGACAATGCACTGTAGCAATTAACCCTAGAAGAACAGGAAAATTACTTTTGACAGTGCAAAACAAATTTTTTTCACTTCTGAAAAATCAGAGGTTTTCTGTCACCTCTAAAAAGCTTATGGTCATGGTCACAAACTGCATCTATGTATATATCTGCAAAAATACATGTAGTATGAAGTTCAGATAAATGAAGCATCAAAATTATCAGGGTACTAAAACTCAGCAAGGGTCTTCAAGCTGAGAGAAAGTCATATCTTTCTCTGATCATTGCAATAAAATTTCTAATTTGTATACAAGCTCTCTCACAAAAGGTTATCCACAGATAAATGTTCTGCAGAAGAGTTTATGTACCCTTCCAATAGATAAATGCAGGATAGCTTAACTATATATTTAGGAAGTTTTGTTTGGTTCTACTCAGTTAAACCTTATTCTGTATTGTGGTTGAGAACAAAGGCACAATAATGAGTAAGAAAGGAATTTCACAGGCGACTTCTTAGGTATGAAGAATTTTGGCAGAATATGCATCCCATTTCCTAGCTGAGAAGCTTTTTTTGTATTAGAACTTTGTCAAATCAAATATTCTCTATTTTCATATCTTATATTCTCTCCTCCTTGCCAGTCAATTGGTTCCAACAAAAGAGATTCTGTTCATAGCTAGAGGATTCCTAGACCACCAATCATGTAAGAGCAAATCCCAAATATTCCACTTCTATTCTAAACTTTCTTCCATATAAAGAATACCAACTCTGAAGGCAAGACTGTTAGCTTATTTTTGGAAAGCATATGTTCTTAGGTCACAGGACTTGGGCAGGAATTTGTGCTGGTTGCAAGTGCTTCCAGATAAAATGTAAATTGGACACAGGTTGTGCATTCAAGTAAAATTGGTTGTTCTCCTTCTGATGCATTGAAATAACTGTAGGGGAATGCAGGTCTTTGTCAGTGATTGTCATTAGACCCTGCTATGCCTCCAAGCTTTCACTCTTTCATTTCTTAGCTCTTTCTTTTCCAGCTCCGTATAGGTTGCCACTTCTTTTCTATTGCTGGAAATAGTTGGCCCTGTAGTAGTCCTCCCGGCTTGTATATCCTCTCTTTGTTCAATCACATTTTATCAACCTTTCCCATTACAGAAATGGAAAAGGCTCTGCCCAGGCTTATGGCCACTGAACTTCACATAATTAACTTCTTTACACAATAGCAAAACTGATCTCATTAATTATCCATTGGGCTATCCCCAGATCCTGAAGTAAAGGGCACTCTCACAAAATTTTCTTTTTAGCAAGTTTATTTATCTTTTTAGCAAGTAAATTTCCTTTTTTTGGACTAAGTTTATCATAAAATGGTATGATGACTAACAAGAAGTAATTATTTAGTAACACATATAATAGGGAAACATACAGGAAAGATAAACAGAAGAGACAATGATCTACCTCTATAAAGATGACAAAGAATAAAAAAAACCCACCCAAAATACTGTGAATATGTCTCACAATTAGTAGTATTGACACCTGCAGATCTAAAGTAAGAATTAAAAAAAACTTTATTTACCATACTGTTCCAGCCTGAAGGGCAGCTGCAAATGTCAATGCTTTGTCAATGTCTTTGGTAAAAACTGCTGCTGCTAAGCCATAGGTGGTATTATTTGCCCTCTTGATAACTTCATCTATGGTTTTAAACTTCATGATTTGTTGAACAGGTCCAAATATCTGTATCAAACACATGTAGACATATGACGTGAATTAGAATAACTTAGTATTTGAAGTAATTGATGTATTTTAAGTTTACTTTTGTCAGATGGCCTTATTCCTAAATTAATGCAGTCAAGAGCAAATAAAATTCTAAAAAATACTATAAGTTTGCATAAAGATTTTTGCAATATGAAGGAACTCAAGATTATCTATTGTAAATAATTCCTAAAACCATAAATGAACAATGAAAACAAATAAACAGTGATCAAAAAGCACCCATCATAAAAGTAGTTAACATGGTGTCACAATGTGCTATGTATCTGTACTGGTTACCAACAAACTTGTGTTTTCTGGACAAGCTCAATTTTTAAAGTCAAGAAAGGCATTCAATTTTCCATTCATCTAAATTTATTATTAGAATTTTAACCCTGCAGGTAGCTGCACAACCGAGAATGTACTCCAAAGGAAACAACTAATTCTGCTTTCCATGTGGGTGTCAGGTAAGAAAATAGTCCTTCAGGTTCAGCTCTCCTGCTACCATTGTTCAGAGTTCTCAGTAGAGGTGCCTGTACCGATCACAGGACACCAAGACTATGTGGGCTGAGGGAGGCATTATGACATCTAACCAATTCTATTTCCATTGACTGTGAGCTTTCTACTTGACTGAGTTTTTAGTTAGTGCTGGTTTCTAGCTAGAGTTCTAAGGATTGATTTCCACAGATCAGAAAATCACTGAACATTCCTCCAATGCTCAAGTGGTGAGCATTCAAAACTCATTCTTTAAACTATCTTGGCTATGCACAGCTTCTTTGTTCATTACACTTAAAAAAATATAAGGACCAGTTCTTGTATGCTAATTAAAGGGTAATCAAGAGAACTGCAAAAAAATTGTAACTGTGCTGTTTCCTACTTGACTTATAGTATGGTGGAAAAATTCTGTCTCATACAGGTCTATAATGTTTTACAACCCTCTTCCTGTCACAATTAATTCTAAATGCTGTGGTGTTCATTTTAACTCAGGCTGTTGGCTCTTCCTGATGTAGTAAATACGTTTAGGAGGCTGCATCAGCTTTCTAATATGAAGTAGTATAATGGACACCAATTGCAGCCCAATTGCAGCAGCTATTAATTAAGATAAATGTAAAAAAAACACAGAGAAGAAGTCATGACTTGACTTTGAATCTTTATGTAGAGAACTAGCTCAGACGGCAGCTCAGCACTCTCAATTGTCTCTGGTTCCAGACAGTCACTGGTGCCCTAGCATTGTCATCTTAGCTGGGACAGTAGCAGATTCTTCAATGAAGTGTAGACACATCTGCAAACTGATCTAAGTTAAGTAATCCCACAGGGGCAAAAAGAAATGCCACAAACAAAATGCCTCTGGAAGCGCCATCCCCCTAGTTTCTCACATTGCAAAGCAGCTGCTTGGTGCACACAAGCACCACTCAGGCAGTGTAAAATATTCACAAGTTGTTCCTCCAAGGTTTACAGGTCATTGTGATTTTGATATGTGAGACATGGACAGTATGGAGCAATGCAAGCATCCAAACCTCAGCATTTATCTAGGCAGGAGCCTTTGCTAGCACAGCAGCCTCATACTCCTCTCTCTCCTTGAGCAATCTGGTGAAATGGGCACCAGAAAACAACAAAAGCACTTTAAACACCAGGGTGGAACAACAGGTTTAATGAGAGGATTTTCATGTAGTCATTTGACCTTCTAAATGAATATTTTGTGCAGATATTAAAACAGATGACTTCCAGTGAGGGAAGAGACTGCTGAAGATTTAATTACCTCTTCTTTGGCGATGCGCATATCATCTGTAACATTGGAAAAAACTGTGGGCTGGATGAAGTAACCCTTGTCTCCCCATGGACCTCCTCCACATTCCAGCTTGGCTCCTTCTTTTTTCCCACTCTCAATTAGCTCCAGGATTTTTTTATATTGCTCCTTATCAATCTAAATGAAAAGATATTTCAGGAATGAAAACAACACATGCTGATAACAGTTGGTCTTCTAGCTCATTAACCTAAACCTGTGACCTGGAGAAAAATATGTGGTTTTTTTCTCTGCGGCAATACACCACAGTGAATAGACCTGATATAGGCTATTATTTTTTTTTTCTAGAAAGCATTACTCTAGAAATCATAACAGGGAATCTGATGACAAAGAGAGATATTTATCATAACTACCATAAAAGAAATGCAGCTGCACTCATAGTTACAATTTCATCTTAAATGCGACCATACCAGTTGTAAAAGGAGTAAATTTTCTAATCTGTAAAATAATTAAGCTTCAGCTAAAGGTTGCTAAGGATAAAAATAGGTCAAAAAAGGAAAATTATGAGACTGGAGGAGAAAAGAGTCTTTATGCTCATTCAAATATTTTCATTATTGCTTTTTTCGCATGTTTAACTTCTTTAATTTTTTAGTAAGAGTGTATTTACACCTCTCATTTAAATTTTTAGCATGAAATTCAAACTCAATAAAGCCACAATTATATGAGAGAACATTTCTGCTAATTTTATATTAGCTGTACACCAGACACAGTTGGAGTTTACTTTTTTTGAATTTTCCTGTCTTTTAAATTCATTCTGCTGAATAAATTTTCTTGTATCAAAACATATTCCAGAGTATCAAAATAATATTTTTAAATTTGCCAAATATTTTGTGGCTTGTTCCACATTATTTTGTTCCAATTTACTGGATGTCTTTTATTACTCAAAATGACTGCGATAACCAATAAAGAATATGTTACTCTATCAAATGCATGGGAGTGGTTTTGTCTCCTACTTTTTCTTTTTCTCTACTACAGCACTTTTTCCCATGCTTTTATTCCATGTCCTGCAGTATAAGCTGATGTGGGAATAAGACTAGATGAGAACTAATGTAACAGTGTTGAGTTCACAGCGTTGTGATGGCAATGCTTTTTAATGCTGCATTTTAACACTCATTTGATGGAAAAGCTGTAGGTATGATCTTTTAACAAAAGGAGAAAAAAAACCCCTTGCATTTTAATTGTGTAATATTCTAAAACTGAAAGCAGCATAATAAAAGTCTAGTGCCTTGAAAAAGGGGAAAAGATATTGAAACTCTTATTTCTTCAAACTAGTCACTTATAGTGGCACTATCTGAATGAAAAGTTAGTTCTAGCATGACATAGGTGACTGTACTTGCACTTTTACAGATCTTACATTAGGGCTTTTTCAAAGCATTTCAATTTTTTATAATTGCTCCCCTTCAATAATAAAAAGAGAAAGAGACCTTAGGCCTATGATATTGGCACAAACGACAATCACTCTGATTTCTTCCTCTTTGTACTCCAGACTAACCTCTACAAAACTGTACTTAGCCTTGAATCTCCTGCAACAGTAAGATTAGTAAGATGTCAAATTGTAGTGTCATGACAGAATTAGGCTGAAAACATGCAATATCACTCACTTGAGGGCCTTGCTGCACACCTGGCTTCAAAGGATCCCCAAGAGTATACTTCTTTGCTCTTTCAATGCTCCGGCGAACAAACTCATCATAAATAGGCTCTTCCACAAAAATCCTAGATCCTGCTATACAACATTGTCCCTGGTGATAGAACAGACCAATATGCGCAAATTCCACAGCAGCATCCACTGTAAAGAAAGGCAGAGTTCATCAGATCATAAACCTGAATCATCACATAATAAATTCTTTTCTAACCTCTGTCACTCATCTAATTTCCCTTTGTAGCACTTTTTATTTTTATGGCCCTTTAAAACAGATATAGAACCATTTACTTATGTCCAAACTACCCTTCTCAAAAGCATCATGGTACATCTAGCTGAACACACATTCAGAACCCTGTAGATTTAACATTATTTGCCCTGTCAGGACTATCAACAAAAGTATTCGGAGAGAAATTGAATAAACCTGTTTAAGATCCTTCTATCTTTTCATTCTTCATTCGTGTTTCATTAGGATGATCATTAATTACATTAAGAGTGAACAGGCTTTCAGAGCTCCACATCTATTCAGGAGCAATTGATTTTGGTGGCCGTCTAACTTAAAATTATGGCATGACCAGAAAACATTAAAAATTACTTCTTTTTTGAAAAGGTTAAAATAATTTACTGACAAAGAAAGGAAAAAGAACGTTGGATTTGCAATAGTAGTAGTTCATATAATAAAATTCCTACTAACAATCTGCATCTGCAAATATAATGTTCGGACTTTTTCCTCCAAGTTCCAAGGTAACTCTCTTCAGATTGCTTTTCCCTGCTGCTTCTTTTATCAGTTTGCCAACCTAAAACATAGGAAGAGGACAGCTTAATGTCAAATGTTTGCAATGACCTCTAAATACATTTTTGATTTCCTCAAAAGTGAAAATCAGTTAAGAGATTTCTACTATCCCAGTAATAAAATGAAAAATAAGTTAAAATAAAACAACTGAAAAGAGTCAGGATACAGGGTACTCTATGAACTGGAAGTGTTTTCTAGAAGAATTTCCCCCTGTATTGTTAACTGCCAAAGATATGAGGTGCTTTTTTGGTTGTTACCACTCTACTTCCATGTATCTCTAGTCTAAAGCAGGCACAAGTTGCTGCTGCACCTGTTACTCCCATTAAGTTAAAATTCCTTTGTTTTATGCATGAGAAGGCTCTTTAATGCACAAAGTTTATGATACAATCTACACTGGCTGCATGGACACTCTTCCTTGTTTCAATTTCTCTCTTGGATGAATGAAGAGCAGGAAATGAACACTGCAAGCTAGGACCCTTATCCTGCCTTTTTCTACTGATGACATAATTGAAGGAACTACTTACTGTGAACTGCCCTGGAAAAGCTGTGAAGGAAAAATCTGCTTGTAGCTCTTGTGGCTTTGAAATGTAGCTGCCTGTGTGTAGCAACCATCAGGCAAACTTTCTCCCTCTGTCAGCCTTCCTGCCATCATTTCTCATTGCTAAATTGCACTGCTAGAAGAGAACAATCATCAAACTCTAGAATACACGGGTCCATCTGCCTTTGGAGGATCACTGGGCACTGGGAATTGTAGTTGTCACTGCCTGCTGGTAACATCTGTGGGATATTTCTCAGATGTCAGGGTTTGGGGTTGTTTTCATTTCCCATTACTGTGGAGGGGAACATTTCTGAGAGTAAACATAGCTCTTGCACTCAGTGTGTACTGAGCCCTGACATGAAGCAATGATATTTATCTTTGGAGTCTATATCCAAGAAGTTAAGAGGCCAGATGGCAGCTTTTCCATTAGCATGTATTTAGACAGACAATATAATGAATTGTATCAAAGAAATAGCTAAACCTTAATCTTATATATAGCCTGCAATGAGAAATATTCAATTATAGCACTTCACAGAGTGAAGGTTAGGGAAAATTAACAGTGACCTTCCTTTTAAACAGATACATATTCAAACATCCAGACCACCCAGATGGTACTAAGTATCAATGAAATACCAAAAATCTGTCACCTCACCTAAATGTGTGCAGACTGAAGAATGAGATTTCCTAGGTACCTTCCTGTCATCCTGCTGTTATTAAACTCAAAGATAACAGAATATCTTTTAAAAAGAATGTTATGAAAAAGTTTTGGTTTGAAGGAGTAAAGACTTAAAATACCCTTGGTATACTAGGATCTACTGTATCTCATGGACTGCCTTTGTTTAAAGGGCTTTCCAGCAATACAAACATTGTTTAAATATGTTTAAAGTTAATAATAACCAACAAATCATTAAACAGACTTTGTTTAACAAACCAGCAGCCTTAAGAAAGAAGAGAGTTAAAATAATTACACAGAATAAGTTAGACATTAAATCATTGCTGGGAATCAGAGGGGCACATTTCCTGCTTCTATTTTCTTGCATTGATTATAGTACCTCTGTAGAGCCTGTGAAAGCTACTTTATCTATATCCATATGGTGAGAAATTGCTGCTCCAGCGGTGGGTCCGAAGCCTGGCACAATATTCACTACTCCAGGTGGAAATCCTGCCTGAATTGGAAAAAAAATCCTGTAAATTTGGGGAAGGATTATAACTATAAGAACATGTGTTGCATGATATTCCCTTTTCAGTTCTCCAGCCACATTTTCTTAGCCATATATTTATTCTCAGACTTAGAGCCCCACAAAGTTTCATTCCCACATGATTTACACCCTCTTTCCTTCACCTGTCTTTTAGGTTACTGAACTCTTTTTTTTTCTTTTTTCCCACAAGGAATATATTTACTTTCATTCTTGGTCAGTGCCATTTTCTAAGAAATATTTTTTTAAATTTTCTCACTCAGATGTATAAAGAAATATTGCTTACTTTCATGTCTGCTTCATTAGAACTGTTTGAATCAACAGATGTACTAGCTGACTTCTGCACATTTAGATCCATGCTAGATGGAATTTAATTAATGATCTGCTACTGAAGTTAAGAAAAATGATGGAACTCTGGATGTAGGTTGAAAGTATAGTGGGTAATGAGAATTTACAGCAAAAAGAGGCAGATTGGCTACAAAGCATGAACAAGCAGTCTGAGATGGGCATAGTTTCAATATCTTGCACATTTTTTATGCAAATAAGCTTTTCCTATGGTTCAAAACAAATGTATTGTTTCCCATAAATCCTGTATTAGATATGTTCCATTCACAGCAAAATAAGCTATTTTCTTCCAGCAGTTTGTCAGGCAAACTCCAAGGATGTGAGAAGAGTAGATGGAATTTTGTTGGTTTATGAAGCAGCTGCACAATCTCAATGATACTTGAGGAACACAGAATTAAAATATCAAATAGATTCATATCCTGCATTATCACTTCGAAAAGTCTCTTTCTAGCACTAAACAGGATTTTGGAATTACATGCGAAAACTCCGTGGTTTTTTTGGAAAATGGTGAATTTCAGGTGGTGAGTTGGAGCTCCTAAAACTCATGTCCTGCATTTTGGATACCAGGTTATTACTTTTGTCAAAGCAACTGTTATTGCTTATGGTTTCATGCTCAGATACAGTCTGTCAATGCTTGTTATGCTCATTAAATTTTCCAGATAAATATTTACCCTGAAACTGATGAGACAATGAGGTCTCATGCATTTGCTTAGGATGAGGTTCTTTCCATTTGCTTAGCATTGCCTTTCTTACTTAAGTTGTGTAGAGAAATCTCCCTTTGAGCATTTAATTTTTATGTTTGTTTTAGAAGCTCTTATCTATATGTTAGCAAGAGAGACTTGTGAGTGTCATTAAACAAGATAGTGAAGGTAACCAGAAGTGACGATATAGATATTTTTTTTAAGTGGGCTTTTGGGAACTAGAAAGTTAAATTAGACCTTCAGATATTTTCACAAGTCCAAAGCAGCTATTGAAGTGACCACTGTCAGGGCTTTGGCCTCCAATGTACTTTTTATATTCTGGATATTTGTCACATTCCCACTTCTGAGCTTGACTTTCAAGAAATCACAATAGAATTCACTTTCAAGAATATCACAATAGAAATTTCATTAGATCAGAACAGAATTGAGTTACTTTTCCTGTAAAGTTACTTTTTTCAGAGAAATACACTTCTGGATACTTATTGTTAAAAATTGATAAAGAAGGTTTCTCTCTTATTTTTAAAAGCTATTCCTCCTCCCCAGTATTATCTAATAGCATTTACTATGTGATGCAATAAGAGCAGGACATGCCTCCAGTCTGATAAAAATTTTGTTTCTGTGTAATATTAACACACAACCAATCAGTGGGCTGTGCTGAATCACGGTTTTAAAGCAGAATTATAAAATGTGCCAAGTCACTTCCATTAAAGCTCTGCAAGGTTACTGCACTAGTGATTATTGACATCTGTGCCAACCTTTGAACAACTTAGATTGTATTTGTTGATTTTATTGGGAAGAAAGCTAAACTGTTTAACTGTTCTCTTTGGGTGGTTGCTGGACTGAGCATAATAGCTTTGGAGACAGTAGCTTTCTGAAGAGACCGACACACCCCTTATTCAGGAGCACAAAGTGTCTTCTCACAGTTTCTGTGTGAAGAGAATTCACAGGTTTGGCAGCAGTCACCAGCTTGATTTTACAGCTCCCTGTTAATAATAAACGTAGGTGGATGAAAACTTTGTTCGGTTAAACAAAAAAAAAGCTGTACAAACAGGTTCTTTTCTGTGATAACTGTACTAATAAAGTCATTGCCACCCACCTCCAAATACTCTGCACTTGACTCCTTGTTTGCTTTTGACTCTGAAAGGTACTGTGCTTTTGTAATACAAAAATATTTGCTAAATAATGGAGTTTACTAAATTGATGTTGTGGGACTTTTTGTGTATGCACTAGGCTCATAGATACGCATGCTTTTGCCCTGGTTTGGCTTCGCTGGTTTACAGCAAGGTAAGTTCCACAGTGCAAGACTAGGCATGCAATGAGCCTGTCTTGTATTACCTTTGTGGCATTTCAGCTGCAGTGTACTCTTACACTTCTGAGAGGGGCAAATAACCCTGTTGTTGGTGACTTACCTCTTTAATTAAGGATCCCATGTAAAGGGCACTGAGTGGAGTTTGTTCTGCTGGTTTGACAACCACCGTGTTTCCACAACAAAGAGCAGGGGCAATCTTCCAGATGAACATAACCAGTGGGAAGTTCCACTGAAAGACAGATGAGAAAGTGTATCCTATTTCTAATACATCACCAAAATACCTCAGCTTTTTCTATTATAATAGTGCAAATTTTCAGCTGGGTGGTTGAGCTTTTTGTTGAAATCCTTTCAGAAAGAAGATGTTTTGAAAAAAGCAATTGGCAAGCCATGTAGTACAAACTGGGGATTTTTGTGTATGTGTAAGTCCAGGGGATCCGAGATATTAGTTACAAGCTCAAGAGACAATGAGTGTACTCCTTTAACTAAGTATTACAGGCAGTTGTTGGATTAGTGGTGCAATTGGGAGTTTTGCTGTCTTGAATGGTCACATCCATCACCAATTCAACTTTCTAAGGGAAAGAAGGTAATGACACATAATGCTGCCCCTGCCCTCTCCCCTGGAGGCTTCACTGGCTGCTGTCTGTTGTGAGCAGTTCAGGCAGATGGAAGAGCAGCTGAATGCTTTGGACCCCATGTTCTGCAGTGTGAGGGACAACATGACCAGGGGAAAACAGCTTTGTCCCTTTGAGAATACTTACTATGGTTTGGGTGACATTGAGGCCATGGACCTCAGCTCAACAGATACCTTTTTGAAATGGGGGAAAAGGCAGCTAAGAGTTACCTATTACGTTAGAGTAGCTAGGAGGAATATACATGCAATACTTCTTTCTTTTCTCTCCTTATCTCCTTTCAGACTCACCCCAGACTCAAAAATAATGGGAGCATAAATAATATAAAGTGAGGGATTCCAAGATTTTCTGCATATTCATTGTTGAAGCTGTGCATACAACTTATGCAGTTGTACATACTACTGCATAAGTGAAAGGAAGTGGAAATGGTAAGCTATCAAAAGTAGTTTGCAACATACACGTAGTCCTCACAGTTTTGGTTTATATAGAAAACTGCAGTTTGTTGGTTCATATTTCGATGGAGGGAAAATGAAGATATACTAAGAAATACTTAACATTTTATAAGGGAAGTCAGTGTTTGTACTATCTGCTGCTTGTACTTCCAGGAGATAATTATATTTTAAATGGCCACGTCTAGTGTTTCTAGCTCTTTATCATAGCTTGAATGAGCATTTCATTAGAAATGCCTTGTGTCTGACCTACAAGAGGATCTAAACCAGCAGTTTCCCAAGCTCTCCTAGGGACTGGATACAACCATATTCAGGTAATGTTCTCTAAACCAATGTGGTGTCTGAAGCAAATTTTCAAGATCAACTTAAAAATGTCAGGCACATGAGCAGGACCTGCATGTCTGAGCAGACCTTATAGACAAGATGACTTTTAGAATCTGTTGAGTTGTCAAGCACACCAGGTGAGGCTGCTCATAACTACTGTGTGCAAGGTGGTGGGTGGATTAGGAGAGCCTAGTGCATATAACTATTTTCACAGACACCCACCAAAACTACATAGACTTCACAAATAAATTTATAACTTGAGCTCCTCAAGTGTTTTGAATGATGAGACTGAGGTAGCCCTTTTGAAACTTAGTTGAAAAGAGCAAGTTCAATACTGGGAATTCAGATGTGCCAAACGGGGGCTTTGTCTGACCCATTCTTTGTGTTGTAACTTGCACCACCATCATGGTGAATGAGTCTTAGCCATAAACAAAGATCCAGCTGTCTGAATGCTGTACAGAGCATAACAGATATTCTAGGTCTTAAAGAGCTTATTGTTAATAGGCTTATAGGCTTAAATATAATAGAATGTAAATATTACACCCTCCTCCATCTTTGTTTCTAATTTTTTCAATGAAACACAATTTCATCTTTCAAATTATTTTGTAAATCAAACTTCTATTTGAGATTTATTTTCTCTCCATGTACAGGGAGGAGAGGGACAAGGTTGGACCAAAGTGACTCATCACACACTGATGAATCAGAATTACAGATCTCAGGATTGTCTCTATCTTTCAGGACCTGAAAATTTTTGGTTAGGAATGTTTCACTACTATGCACTAGCATAGGCAAAATTTCAAATGCATTTCCATTTGTAGCAAGGAACATTTGTATTTACATAAATGGTTCCAACTTACAGGAATAATTTGGCCACACACCCCAATAGGCTCATGTCTAGTAAATGTAAAAAAGTTTCCATCTATGGGAAAAAGAAATAAATTAGTCATTCAGACAAAGCATTTGTGAGAAACAGTTAAATCAGAAACAGTTAAATCACAAAGATTATAAAGTAGGGCACCAAACTTAGTGGGACACAATTTTATTTATAAATGATATTTTCAAAATCTTAACTATGCAAAAAGCCATAAAGTACATCTGGATTCAATGCCTACTTTCTTCATAGCTACAAGGTTTGATTTTTCCAGTCTGACTGTCTTTTTGCAGTGACAGCCCTGTTTCTCAATATGGTATGCACAGTACACCAATAAGCATTCCTCAGTTCTTTTTTCTTTTATCACCTTTTTTTTTCTTTCAAAAACTTCTCTTTTAAATCCTAGGTATATATCAGACATTTTTTAATATTAGATCTCAGCTTAAATCAAATCCATTAAATATAAAATTCTCTTTGATTCACATAAATATGTGTTCCATTAAACCTAGTATAAAGGTCTACGGGAGGCAAAGAAGTTGGAAGCATTTATCACTCTAGTTTTCCTTAATTCCTTCTTTATTACCTTTTCCTTAATTCCTTCTTTATTACCATTCTTTTCTTTGCCTTGCTGAGAGAGGTAGCTAGAGAGACAATGTTTTCATAGAGCTGCTTAATGGGAAAGGGAATGGAATGAAATTTTAGCAAGTCCTGTTTCCTCATTCCTATCTCATAGTACTTTTCCTAGCACATTATCCAATCACTGAAGTAAATATTACAGCTTTGTGATAATCTTTGCTTAAATATGTAGACACCCAGGCCTCACTGCTGTAGCCTTGTATAAACTATACATTGCTATGCAAAAGAGCCTACCACATTTCTTAGATATTTGCACAGGTTAAAATTTTTTGGTTCATAAACAATACTTGTTAGTAGTGTGAACAAGAAAGAAATGTGAAGACCTACACTAAATGTTTAAACTGAGAACTATGACAACTCTTTAATAACCTATCTTGTAAACTTTTGAAAATATTTTCTGTGTTGCACAACTTTTAGAAAAAAGTCAGTTATTTACAGCTTGTGTTGGCCTCAGTTCTGTAGCTTTGTTACTCACCCATTGGAACAGTACGCCCATGGATTTTATCAGCCCAGCCTGCACAGTAGCGTAAAGTTTTGATACAGGCACCCAAGTCCATTAGATAGGCCGTGGAAAAGAGCTTCCCACCATCAATGGTTTCCATTGTCTGCAGACAACAGCAAAATTAAACAGTTAATATCAAATCCTGATAATAGTTCTTTTGCTTGTGCTTTGTAATTTAGCTTTTGAAAGTTCACTTTGAGGATTTCAGCTTTAGAACAAACATTTAGATTACTCCCCTCTGAAGAACACATTTTGAAAAAATGAATGTAGCAATTTCAAAGTGAGAAATTTTCATGATGTTTTATTTGTATTGAGCTATGCAGATAGCATGGTCACAGTGCATTTGTAGTGGTAAGGTTTACTCAAAAAACTTCTCACCCATATGAATCAGTTCTACTTTATGTTAAATATTTTGCAAGCACAGATCAAGCTTTAGGAAGGAAATAGTGCAAATAACTGATGTAAATAAAATATCAGCAAGCTCAAGTCTTGTAAAAAATACCCTAAACACACCTTGAGTGTCTGATGTGCAAAGGAAAGATCTGAGCCATCTAGAATTCTTAAGTGAGAAAAATTCCTTATGAAAAATAAATACTTATATAGAAGAGAGTCTCTAAAGAGGGTCGCTTTTCAGCCAAATCTAAGGAATGTGGCTTGGATTAATTTCCATGCCCCTGAATATTGGGACATAAAGATCATGAAAGGTTCTTAGTGTCAACATATTTTTGACACTTCAAAATATTTTTATCAAGCTTTCCAAAACAGAGAGATTGAAGACCTTCAAATCTATGAACAAACCTCTTCAGCAGGAAAAGCCCAAACTATAGTCTTAAGATATAAACTATAATTTCAAGATGTAATCAGGTTGGCATTCTTTATCATTTCCAGTCAGATCAACAGACTGATCCTTCAAGAACAGTTTTTCACCAACAACTCCCATGTGAAGTCCACATTTTTAGTTAACTGGACACATTTCAGATACCATACTTGCGGAGAGAACAGAACAACAGAGAAGACAGCAATTGCCTGATGGCTCTTGGCAACAAGGAACTGATTAAATGAGATATGCCCTTGCCATTCCAGGCAACATATGTGGCACTGTTTTCATTCTGTTTGGACATGGGAGAAAATTCTTCCCTGGCCTCAAACTTATGAAATCTCTACATCTCTTCAACATCACAAGAGATTGAATTCTAAGTAACACAGTTCTCAGTGGCTCTTCCAGTACCTTGCTTTGACTTACACTTTCAGTTGCTTATCTATATGTCTGCTGAGCCTCTGAAGCATCTTTTCAACAAATAAAGCACTGAAATTGAATAATTTTCATCCTGGTCAAATGCATGAACACAGAAAACGACTTTGCAATGAGCTTTGGACGTCTGTTTTGATCTCTAGTCTGTAGGAGTATGTGTTGTTCTATAGTACTAGTTTTGCAGGTAGGATAAACTGAGTGGAGAAAATCTCGCTTCATCAAAATCTGGAAAGCACTTTACTCATATATACATTTTCTGTAAAGGAAAATAGTTAATAAGTTGATTAGGTTGTAGGAAATATAAAGTCCGTAAAATAGAGACTTGGGAGGGGCCCCAGAGAAAAGCAATTCTTTTATATTATGAAAATGGCAAATGTAAACAAAACCTAATTCAATGTTCCATCTTTCCTGTGGGAAAAAAGATTGTATCTTCTTTGCGCTTGTAATGCCTTAGACTGTACAATGAAGAAAGAAATGCCAGCTCATCCAATTATTTAATGGACAAGAGGGCATAGTGCTCTATTTAGAATATAGCTCTCCTTAAAATTTGTCTCTCTCAACACAAATCTAGCATTTTAAAGGACATAAGTTCCACCCACACAAGGTTTCTCCTGAGAAACTCTACTATATAACGGGCAACAGATGCTTTGCTCATTTTACATATCTGAAGGTGTAAATTTTATTAGCTTATCTACAGTGTGTTTTGTGGCTAATGGATAAATACTTCAAACTAGATCAGTCTGAGTGATCATCCTGAATGCTGGATACTCCTCCTTGTCTAAATTTTTATGCTGTTTACAGAAAACCAGGATTCATCTTCAGCACAAACAATTATTCCTCCTAAGTTTTAATTCCAGAATGTGCTTGAAATAGCAGAGAAGTCACCTTAATAATAATATCATAAGTGGAGTTTAAAGCAAGGAGGAGAGGATACTAGCCTTTTTCAAATTGGTGATGTATTTCTATTTTATATGTAATTTCTTGCCTTAGTGCACAATCTGTAGGTGAGAACATTACAAGTTATCTGTCTTCTGTTAAGTGTGGTAAAATAGCCAGTACACAGTGGTTTGTAAGGAGAGGGCATCATTCCCCAGCACTCATGTTATTGCTCTTTTTAAAATATCTATTGCTGTCTTTGGCTCTCCTTAGGCTTTATCATTCACTGCTAGTTGCCAGCTGGAGTTAATGATAGATCAGTGATGAGAAAATATAGAGTCATGAAATTCAAATTTTCCCTGTTCTGACTTGTATCATCTATAAGCATGGAGCCAGGCTTTGAGTTTAGGCCTTGATTCAAGCTTTGATTTGAGTTTAGGCCTTGATTTAGACTTTGATTTGAGCTTAGGCCTTGATTCAGACTTTGGTTTGGACAAGCATTAACCATGGGATCAATGTTAGCGTGCTCTTAAGAATCAGTGATTCAAATTACTGTGGTTTAAGTTAAGGCAGCTTAAGTATCTGTTTAAAGTGAATCAAAACTCAAGTACTTCGTGGTTATGGGGTGTTAATAGACGAAAGTGCAGGCCAGCTTAGAGAGGTCCATTTGCTACAGAGAAAAAAAACAAGTAGTGAGACAGCCCAGCTTCCCAAAGAGTTGGCATATGAAACTCTCTAGTATCTCTCTGTAAAAATCAGGACTTTTCTCTGTGTCCTTTTGTTCACATATCATACTCACAGCTAGAATCAGACGATCTCTTTCGACCAAGTCAGCTAGTTTATTCAAGAGCCTTCCTCGCTCTGAAGCATCCATTGTGCGCCAGGTTGACCCGAGCTCAAAAGCCTTTCTAGCTGCTTTCACTGCCTTGTCTACATCTGCCTGTGAGGAAAACAAAAACACTTATGTGATCAATAATTGGTTCTGTCATAAGCTTTTCTTTGCTGTTCAATGTGTAAAGTTTAGCATAAGTTCGACATAAAGTTGAAATAAGAGAAGAAAAACCCAATCTAATAAAAATTAGTACCAGTAATGTTAAATATATGGGTTATTTTCTTTCAAACACTTCTGTTGCTATTTCAGGAATGTAAAATTCTATGAGAAACAGATGTGTTCTCAAATTTCCAAAATAAAAATATACATAGAGAACTCTATTTTTAAAATTTAGATTTTTAAGCTCTTCCTATATATCAAGCACTTGCATTAATGATATAGTTTAATCTCTTTCATTTGGAAAGAAATGTCTGAGTCTGTAAGGTAAATGCTTAATTGCCTCTCATCTAAAAGTATTTTAAAGGGCAATGAAGACCAGGTTAGAAAAGCCTGTTCCTTAGGATATTTCATAAAATGAACACAAATTTATTATTAAGGAAGACAAATCAATAAATTTTTTTGAAAGTTTTAAGAAATATTTATGTATAAAATTACTTCAAAAATTAAAAATGAGGCATGTTTAAAAAGCTAAGCCTATGTATTTTGAAGTCTAAGCACTGTCTTTGCCTTTACCAGCTAATTCATTGGTCCACTGATATTTTTTTAGTGTATTTTGTTATTTATCATTTGGTTTCCATTATGGAAGAAAAATCTACAATGAAACTATTCTGTGCAAAGGGTATTCCAGGATTTAAAGAAAAACAATTACAATTTCTTGAAAAAAGGCTTTTAGTATTTGGAATTCTTCTGTATTTTAATATTCTTGTAAAATTTACCAATGAAAATTGGTGACATAGAAAAGAGATTTAATACAGATTCTTTGTAAGAAACAAAAAATTTTGAAGAAAGAAAGATTAAAAAGGAGTTACTATATATGCTGCATCTCCCAGAGAAATTTGCATGCAATGTTTGAAGGATATCTTTCAAACATTTTTTTGTCCTGCTATTCGCTAATATCTCCTCCAGGGGAATAATTAGCAAGGTTGACTAAATCAGCAAGTTCGAGTAAGTCAACACTATAGTCAGTTGTTTAAAACATGAACTAGATCTTGAATCTTTAACTTATATTGGTAGACATCAACTAATTTTTAGAAGCTGTGAGTACGGTGTGTTAGTGGAAAGGCCAGCACAGACCTGTGAGGCAGAAGGCCCCATAAATTCCAAAAGTTTTTCCAGGAAATTTTGGAAAAGATAGGAAGGAACTATATGAATAACATAGCCATTTCTATAGAGTGATACTGACCAGTCAGTATCAGATACTGACACCAGGTGCCTAAAATATACCAAATTAAGATTGATTTTCTCCAGAATCTGTCAGCATGTTGTGAATCACCTTATCTGTGAATCATCTGTGACCCCTGTCATAAATTTTCTATATCTTTGCAATAGGATTCAAGGGTGGTGGCTTGGACTTAACTGGAAAAGGAGAAGGGGAAAAATATATGAACATGAATGATGTAAATTAAAGCTACATTGTCTGGTGTCCATTCTACTAGAAGTGCAGAAATAGTAAAAACTGAGAAAAATAATATAAGAGGAATAGAGGGCTGTGAATGAAAAGTAATAAAAAAAGATTGTTCTTCAACTGTATGAAATTTAATTTCATTACATAAATCTACACTATGAGTATAAAAACACCTTTCTGAGCCAATTTAGATTTTTTACAGAAGTACATTTAGTTTACATATGCTGACTATTAGGTGAGCTGCTTTATTATTACTAGGGGCCTTTAGGATTAGGAATGTAGCTTGAAAGAGCCATCAAACTGGAAGAAAACAGTTCCCACCCACATATATGTCTGTTCTTTGTAATCTCCTCTTGTTTTTTAAAATACCACTGCAAGGCAGTGAACAGCCCTTTGTCAACCCTATTGTATGCACAAATTAAATTCCTAAAATCTCTTGGCTCATTATCTGAAGTCTAGCCTCTTGCATATTAGGTTCATAATGGCTGTGTAATTTACTAGATCTGCACAATTCACTAGGCAATTTAGTTAATAGCAGTTGTCATTGCACATTAGTTTGCAAAATTATTGAAGAGAAAGCAAACCTGTGTTTTGAATAGCATTATCTCTTTTATTTAATGAATTGTTGGAGAGCTTGTAAGGAAAGAAAGCTACAAAATTTTTGAATGATAACTGAACAGTTGCAGGTTATGAGTAATTTAATTTAGGGATGATAAATTATCAGTGTCTCAGCACTACTTATAGTGGTATTAAAGGAAAGAAAAACCTTTGAAAAACTTCAGGTGTTTTGATTTTTTAAAATTATTTCCTTCCAGGTGAAATAATTAAAAGTCAGACTTTCTCAGCCATGTTTCTCTAAGAAAATGTTTAAATGTGACATCATTTTGACCTTGCTAATTTGTGGTCACTATTGCTCAAGTACTAGACAACATTAAAGACAAAGATTATTAGATGAGATTACAGACCAGAGTGAGAAAGATGTAATGAGAAGATGATTCTGATTGTATTTCTCAAAAAAGAATTTTGTTTCAGTGTGAATTTCTGTACAGTAAATTAAAAGATCCTGAAAAAAGCATGTGCTTATTATATTGGCCATAATTTTTGGTGAACTTATAACACAGACAAACTTACAAGTTTTACATTTGTTCTACTCAATAAAAACATGTTTAACATTTTGATGCTTAAAAAAATGCTTCTTATGCACAACATTCTAGAAATGTATATTTCTTGACTAAAATGAATATATCATTTTGTGAGAAATGTGAAAAAACCTTTAATTTTTGGATGCAACATTAACTTTGAAGTAGAACTGTAGAAAATTAATTATATATGTGCAAGGACCACACCAGTAATTATAAAACCAGCTTTATTTCCAGCTACAGTCATCTCATAAAGTGGAAATAAAACCTTCATTTATTGTATTTTCCTTCTCAGAATATATATAAAAAACCCTTTCTTTGTTCAGTACTTTTAATTCTGTTAAGCATATTGTCTATCCTATTTAAAAAAAAAAACAAACTACCACCTTCCTTACATTTAAACTATATAGTAGCGCTAGGCAAATCCTGTTAATAAGAAAAACGCATAATGTAACAAAAATACAGAGATCAGGGCTTAGGTTTTCATTATATCTTTGATTGCATCTATCTGAAACTTTCCACTACAGAATCTCATAAGAATAAAAAAAAAAATTTCTTTGCAGTTTTGAACAATATTTTTAGTCATCTGCTTCATTGATTCAACATTCTTTAAGGAGGTCCATTTTGTGGAATTAGAGACTATTGATAGGCTAACTTCAGCTTGAAAGTAATTTTTAGGACTACGTTTTTCAAGATGTTTTTCACAAAACAACATATTTGTAGGGGACAGTACTGAGACTACATATAGCTAAAGATACTCATGGTAGTGATCTTCACAGAATTTGTGGGAAATGGTAGGTATTTGTCCTTTTTATATTTTATATAAGGAAAAGACTTATATAAATGTGTCATGGACAAGATTATATTAATTTGTAATGAAGAAAACATAACAGAAAAATAAAATAAAATCCCACCTAAATTTTTAGATGTCAATGACCACAGATTAGAAAAAGAAACAATAATATTAGTAAAACAAACCAGTAAAAATATTTTTTCAGAACTTTTCTCATATGAGCCTAAGGTAAAGCAGTTTTTCAGCATCTCTTTAAAAAAATATTATGGTTTATTAAAAAAAGAGTTTGTGAAAGAAGGTATACAAGATGAAGTAGGTCCATCTGTGGTGGTTTTACATTACACAGATTGCTGCTTGCCTTCCTACTTTTAAGATACACTGAAATTAAAGTTACAGTTAAGGGCACGAAAGAAAACCCTACCTTGTCACCTTCTTCAACCTCACAGATTTTCTCTTCAGTTGCGGGGTTAAAGACTGCAAATTTTTTACCACTGACCGAATCATGCCATTCATTGTTTATAAATATCTGCAGGAGAAGAAAGAGTGCAACAATATTAGTAACACATATATACCTGCTGTCTGTTGTACGCTTTAGTGAATAAACCTACCTTTCAAAGCTGAGAGCTGCCTGATTGATAGATGTCTGAACTAAAACTCGACAGCTGTTATTACATTATTCTGAAGAGATGAGTAATCACATACACACTTAGCCAGGAAAAGGTTTTTAAAATTCACTTCCTTTGGAGAGGAAAACTTTCTCTTCATTGCACTTTTATTTTGTTTCATGTCATAAAAATATGCTGTTGTAAAGTGGTCCTTCCTGTCTGAAGTAGAAGGGAGGTTCAGCCCTAAATGACCTATGGAAAACTACCTGAGTTTCCCATGCTCACAGGGCTGGTAACAATACAGGCCCTTTCTGTTACACTGCCTGACTGAAGTAAACCATTGGATTTAGTAAGTATAGTGTATTGAATTAAAAATATCTTGGAGATCACAGCTTTAATTAACTTTTCTTTGACTTATCTTCAGTCTCTCCTGCCAAAAAAAGGAAAATACCAACAAAAACTAAACCAATCCATACCACCAAACAAAAAAAAGCAATAGCGGGGGGCTTTTTGAAATTGAAGCTGAGACTGAAAAAAATCACTGTCATAATAAATCAAATGAGTTAAAGAATTATGGAATGGATAAAGCTGGAAGGAACCGCAGTGGGGTCATATGGTCCAATCTCCCTGCTCAAGTAGGGTGATATTAGAACACATTGCACAGAATTGCACCCAGATAGTTCTGTGTGCTTAGGACATACTAAAGGACCTCTGGCTGAAATTTGATGTACTTATCTCTGTTCACAAATGCAAAACAGAGCCTGGGTCTTACCTGTGGGGGCACCAGATCTGTACTACTCTAGAGCCTGCCATCTCTGGGGCACTGTTGATAAAATGATCAAAGTGGTTTCATTTCTTTTTTAACTGTAGGTTAAGCTTGAAGCAAAAAGGAAATTGTCATTGAAAAGACCCAATAAATGCACAGTTGTTGAAAAGAGGGGGATAAGTTGTGATAAGTGCTTTGTACACTTGGAGTGGGCATGACACAGTATACAGTCCCAAGCTAACAACACCTGTCCTTCTCTGCCTGACCCTCCGTGATCTCTGGGTTCAGGTCAGTGTTGAAGCAGGTGTGCCATGCTAAGCTGGGCCACCAGTGCCTTGAGCCCACCCTCCTGATGCTGGTGGGCTAGTGCACTCCCTTCTCAGTGGCTCCCAGTGCCATTGCATTCTAGGCACGTGTGTGAGACCTTAATTGTACTCACCTGCAAGGACATGCCAGGCTCTGACCCACTGTACCGTGTATTTTGAGCTCAGGTTGTGATTTTTTTCCTAGAGTCAAGGCACCCTGACCCGCAGTTAGCACAGGAGTCTAGCAGTGAGGTCAGCTAGCACTCTCCATTAGGACAAAGAACCCAGTGTTGCTGCTTAGAGTAACAGGAACTTTGAAATAGAAAACCAGAAAACACTTTGGTGTAGGCAAAGTAGATGATGGTTGAGTCAAGACATGGCAAGACAGTATCAAGATGCCAGAACTGCAGGATAAATGTGGTCACAGAAACTTGAGGAAAAAAATCCTTCCACCATGACCACATGTCATAAATGTGCCACAGATTTCAGGGAATAAATTTTCTGCACAATATTAAAACTGGTTGAGTAGTTGTTAATACTTGGTAAATAGTTTATTAATACTTTATTAATATTATTTTATCGTCAATATTGATAAAAGTACTATCCATAAATGGATATGGCAATAATATTTTAATATATTAATATATTCCTGTATTGTATTAATATGATATGTTCTGTATTTTTCTGCTTGTTATTATGTGGGCAACTTATATAGTGTCATTGCCACCTCCAACCATCAGGACTGACCAGAAAACTCCTGATTTAATTAAAGCTGTCTGAAATGAATATCTAAGTCCATAGAAATTTCTGATAAGCAATGAAGCAAGTTATAAGATTACCCACACAAAATTCCAATGTGGTAAAAGGACAGAGACAGCAGTTAAATGGTTAATATGACAAAAGCCATTGCCAAGAAAAGAGAAAAAGTAAAAGGTAAATATTAACATAACACTGCCATGATGTTACAGTATGCCAAATTCATATCTGTCTGTGAAAGGAATAATAGAAAAACATACCATTTTTGGAAATACTTAAAGTGCTTGTTTGAATACTACATTTATTGCACCAATCAATATCCCCCATAATATTAGTTTTGAATATATTTCTTATTAATGTTTCTAATACCATTGCTGTTTAAATTATAACTTCGTTATCATATATTATATATATATATATATATATATATATATATATATATATAAAAATACACACACACACAATATTGTATCAGAGTTGTATCATTCAAACTACCCATATGTCTTTTGTAAGCTAGATAGTGGCCTTGCAAAATAGGGGTAAGAAAGATGGGAAAGGAAAGAAATTGAAACTCTCATGTAAGCTGCATTAACACATTTCAGGCAGCTGTACTCATGCAGCCATGCTCATAAAATGCTGTGGAGTATTTTCTGCACACAAGATGTGGATCTCTAAGTCCAGGCAACACCTAAGCACCAGCTAACAGCAGCTTCTAGCAACAGCCTTGACCTGCTGAGGAAAACAATGCTTGGGATCACCTTGCAATAGTTTAGAGTGTTTTGTCAGTGAGTCAGAACTCCACTGACAGCTCCTCAGACGCAAATGCTAAGGGTCTACCCCTCTGTGGCAAGTGCTGTGCACTTGTGGTGACTGTCTACAGCCCACCAGGTTCAGGGCTACAAATTTATTTTGCAATGATTTAGGAATATTGATACAGATATTTTGTAACTCTTCACTGGAATTTTAGGAGAGAAGATTTTTTAAATTATTGTTTCAACAACCCAAAGAGTAAGTGACTGTTCAGATTTCTTTGCAGTAGAAGTGGAAATACAGATTTCCAGCAGATGAAACTACACTGTTGGAGCTTCATATTTTAAATAAAGCACAGGCAGCATCAGTCAAAAACCCTCTGATGTCTTTATTCCTGAATGTCATTGGGCAATAAAATCTTGCATTTCTGAAATGATTGATTTCAGTTCAAATTATCTAATACCATCCATTTGGTGTCGAGGTTACCTGCAAGTATTTCTGTCCTTGTTTACACAGTTGTTTTTGTCACTCAGATGACCTGAGCAGAGAACACAGAGAATGGATACACAAGATCCGAACTTAGACTTTTTTTTTTTTTTTTTGCCATCTCAGTGGTTTCTTTTCCTTCAGTTCTGGAACACTTTGAAAGAATTTTGAGTTAATTTTGCAGTATCTGCTAGATGGGAAGTGCCATATTTGTGTCTGAGCTGCATGAAGGAAGAAAGCATTTTACTCTGTACAGCCTTGCTTCTGACAAACAACACCATAGCTCTGCTGAAAGAAATTTTTGAGTCTTCACATTAGGTGTCATCATGTTATGAATTGTATCTTTTTGCTATGCAGTCTGTACAGGGTTTCAGGCTTCAGTGCCTCTGCATAATAACTTAGAAGTACAGATTTGAAAGAAAATTTCTGCTGTTGCACATTCAGCATCTTTCTATAAACTCACTGTTTGTTCAGGAGGAATTTTTATATAATTCATTAATTTTGATTTACATTATAATTCATACAAAGATGTAGTCAAGAAAAGTAATGGAACTAACTAAAAAGTGACCTTCCCTAACTTAGCTTTAAGGATAGCTTTTTAAACATGGAAATAAAAGTCTAAGCTACCTTCTGTTTAGATATCAGAAATTTTTCCAAACTTACAGTATAAGAAAAAAGCAAAGCTTCTTCCCACCTTAAATCTGCCCCTGGATATTACAAAACTTTTCTTGGCAATACTCTTCAAATGAGCCCAGTTTCCTGTTTTACAGAGATAAAAGTAATCCCCAGATTTGAGCCCTTGCTCACCTGACTGGCCTCAAGCTTTCTCGTGGGGACTATGGAGCGGGGCATGTCACAAAGAGCATGATTTTACAGGCCAGGAACAGTGAGGACACACCAGGGCCAAGGCTGGGCATGTGCTGGAGGCAGCTCAGCATCACTCGTGCGAGGTGGTGCACAGTGCTGAATAACTGTTGTACCTGTCCACTCCTGCTTATAGAGATTGTGACAGCCATTCAGGGTTTCTTGAGTACAATAAAGCAATAAAAATTTACTTGGTAGTAGATTTTGTAGATACATCTAAGCCTTAAAGTTTTGTGGCCCAAGACAAGGCTAATTTCAAGTGCTAGAAGTTCTAATTTACTAGTCTAAAATTATATTATGAAATCCCACTGTATACTTTTAGTAGTACAATTAAAATATGCGGTATTTCTTAAGGTACTACCAAAGGATGAAAATTTAAGCTTTAAAGAAATATGTTAATATAGATGCTGGTGTGAAATCTCTTTTTCCTCTCCCCCTCAAGTTTTTCCTTACAAGAATTTTATATTTGGCTAATATTGCATGTAACTTTCTTTCTCTCTCTTGCAATATGCTATTATTTATGCAGGAGTTACATTTTACTGCTGCAGCCGACTAATAATCAGAGAACATACTCTTTCTATTAAATATTATGTAACTTTTTTGTTAGTGACTCTGTGTCCACAAAGTGAGCTGATCTTAAATCGAGTAAGTTTCTATAGTAACTTTCTAGCTCATTTTCCCAGATATTCCAATTACATTTTTGAGCTTTTATGCCTGATCTTTGTTTTTGAGGCTAGTGGCTGCAGCATTTTAATGTTCAGTTATAATTTTTCTTTACTCAGCATGTCTTACCCTTCAACACTTCCTGATACTCCACATGTGGCTGAGCCAGAGAATGTTCAGCCCTTTTCTTCCCCTCATGCAATTTGACAATCTAATAATTAACTAATCTTAGTTTCTCTGATTAAAGGAGTACTACAGGGTTAAGTGTATGTGAAAGCATCATGACAGAAAGCATTTGTCAAGTAATCATTGTCTAATTCCTCAGTGTTGACTAAGTAAAATATTTACTAACACATTTTTAGCTAGCTACCAAAACATATTGGGTTAATGGAAAAATTAAAAGAGGTTCATATATAAAACCAAATCAAGATTACTTTATGGTTCAAAATCCAAAAGCCAATTTCAGTGTTTAAAATACATTTGATTTGATGTCTGAAAATCAAATTTCATGAAGAGTAGGTGTTATACCATATGCAAAAGGCTTACTCTGAAATATGTCTATACCAATCTATAGATCATTGAGTTAATGAGCCTTGTGAAAAGCCATAAATGATTCCAAACACAGAAAATAAAATAGAGAGACTATTAAGAAATGAGAGTCCTTGGAACATCTCCTGCAGATCTGTCTCCTCAGATCCTTTGTGATGACTGTTGGTATTATGCAATGGCAGAAAAAGATAAATTGGAGGTTACGAAGATGAAGGATCTGGTTCTAGCTGATTTAGACAGAAAGGTTAATACACCAGCAGTAATTAGTGCTTCCCTCTTCTTAATCCTGCCAGTGTTACTAGTCACCCACATCCCATGTTCCAACTTGTACGGGACAGGAGAGGAATGGGATGGCTACACAAGAGTGCAAAGGCCTAGTTAAATTGGGGGATGAATGTTGTGTATGGGGTGACATTTCTGTTTTCCCAACTCCCTGTCCCTCAGTACACTGCTGGGGCTTTCAAACAATCCTATGTGATATTTGAAGAGAGGAGAAAAGCACTGCAAAAATCAAGCCTCCACAGCCATGGGCTAGATTTTGTAAACAAGGACATTGCTTTTCTACACAGTTAGAATTTATATGCAGCTTTGAAGGAAATGGTACCAGTTACCAAGGCAAAATAAATATTTATTATGTGACACTCTCCTTGATTGTACACTACAAACTAGATTTTTCAACAATGTGGGCTGCCTTTGGTTGTTTTTTGGTACTAAAACAATAGATTCCTAATAATGAAATATTTTAGAAGGATGGAAATATTTACAGAAATTTGTGTTTTGCATATTCAGTTACATCACTTGGTGCTTTTTCTTTGTATTAGTTGTTTTCCTTTAGAGAACTAAAAAATCAAAGAATTAATAATTTTTTTTTGAGACAGGAAGAGCAGTAGCAGGCTACTGCATGGCAGAACTACATATCTTTCCTGTTAAATATTTACAAAGCAAGATCCAGTGTGATTTATTCAAGAAAGACATGTAGTGGAATATGTTTAAGTTTTTTCCATTCGAAAAAAAGGATAGCATTGAATTTAAAAGAACTAATTTAGATGAATACCTACTTTAGGAAAAGAAATTAAACAGTGGTTCTAAAAGTTAAAACTATTTCCCTTGCAATGATATCAAGAAAAATAAAAGAACAGTAACCAAGAATCTCCAGAGTTAAGAGGTCCTTTCTGATCAATTCAAACCTGAATGTTTCAGAGGGCAAAGTTTCTGTCAACACTTTTCCAAAGTTCTAGCAGATATTTGTGTGCAACGATACAATATTATGGTATAAAACCAGCAGTCTTTTAAAGCTGGAAACACAAGCCTGGATTTAGAAGTTCTTTTTTATCTGTATATTTCTAACTCTATATGGAAAGAATTTTCTGTTTCAAGGAGTTCATGGTAATATTACATAGTTAGATCCGTAGACTAAATCTAGTTTTTAGCTACTTTTTTGCCTGAAAAACAAATTCAAAACCAGATTCATTTCCTTAAATGTAATCATCTCACCAGAATACTTTTATTTTAGTTTTGTTTTCACATATCCCTTTCCATGTAAGCTTACCAGGTATAATTATTTGAACCTGATTATAATGCAATGCAATATGCCAACATTTTAATTTGCTGTTTTAATACACTGTTTTGAAAAATAGTATAGTAGAAACACTTCCTTCTTTGTTCCATTTATACTTTCTGGTACACTTACCACTGATGAAAGTTTGTTTCAGGAAAAAAAACAATACCCATACCAAGGGGAATGTGGAACAATTCTATCATGCATGCACATATAGGTGCTTTAAATTAGGTTAAAAGGATCACTGAATACCACTTCCTAATATGTGTAAAATCAGGATTTAGCAAGAATAAACATTTTAAGCACTGATTTACAGTGTCTTCCATAGTTCATATAAGGTTAAAATGAGCACATCCTACTGTCTGAAGTGAATGTATAAGAAAGATTAGGAAAAGTAAGTGCTACTAACCTTGGTGTACTTAATTTTCAGGTCTTTCAATGGTTCTGGCAGCGCTGGCATAACTGGAGCAGGATTGCCATCTGAGCCTTGTTTCTTCATGATTGCAGTTGAGAAGTTTGAGGATGTTCCTGAAACACAGGTGAAATAAGGTATAAAGGGAATACAGTGATTTTTGCCCTGACTGAGCTCTTGGCTTTATTTGTGCTTTTTATCTGAACCAGCCATGGTATATTTGCATACAGGAATATGATTGGATGAAAAAATTCATTGCAAAGAGAAAATGACACTACTTATTTTTATGACCAGAAGCAACAGCCTTTTCAGTGTGCTGAGACCTCGATGAAGCACATGCTGCTGAAACAATCTGCCCAGGCAGACACTACGAATTCCTAACTGGAAAACAGAGCTTAAGACCTCCTCAACTTACCTGTAAAATTGCTTTCTCTCAGCAGGCAGGTATTCAGATTCTAAGGGAACTCCTTCACGTACTTGAAGGCAGGTCCGAAGGTAAAGACAGACTTGCTATCTCTGAAAGCAAACCAAGCCCTTCTTACTAGAAGGTTTATGAGAATAATTACCAGAGCTAGAAAGCATTCATTAAAAACAAGCTACCTTAGGTTACATTTTAATATGTTCAGAATATATTAGAAGTAATGTAATTAATGTTTGTTTTGTAGATCACAGAGATAAAAAAAGACTAGGGTGATAGAAAATCCTTCATGTGTTTTTCAAAAATGTGAAGGTGGAAAAAATAATCAATCTAGGAAAAAATTCTGCCTGAGTTGAACTGAACAAAAACTTGTTGATTTTTTCTTCTAGGCAACACCAAAAATTTAAGGACAAAGTTTTTCATACAGTGCCATTGGGAATATCTGAGTCCAAAACAAATTGTTCAATAAACTAGGCTTTTCTACCTTGGATGGAACCCACTTTTCTGTTCTGATTATTCAAAGAAAAACATATATCTTGCACAGGCAAATAATTTTATAAGGTACAAGAAACTCCTTTTTTCATCAAGTCTTGCCTTTTCTGATTAGTGGACTCACAGAACCTGTTTTTACAAGCCAGACTTCTGATTAATGCACAATGGATCCACACCATAGAAATAGAATTAAATTATCTTACTGTTTTCATCAACAGGGAATTGGAGAATTCACAGCTCACAGATATTTCATATAGTTCATATTTTTGAGCAGTATTTTAAGATTTTAACATTTTGGGTTGCAGTGTTTGCTTGCCTTAGAGAATGTCTTTGAGTCTCATGTCTCATGCAGAAAAAAGAATGTCTAAATAGGGTTTGTTTATTTTTATTTGGAATATAACTTTTCAATCCTATTCTTGTGTAGAATTTTTTTTCCAGACTTACACACTAAAATCTACTCTATCAGTCTTCCTGCCACTAATTTCTCTATTAACCACAAAGACTTTGTCTCTAGTTAATACTTGTGCAAATTGCTCAGATTTGCCCAACTGGAGATGCAAAACAGAGATCAGTGGATTTCTCTGGTTTCAGGTAAAGCAAAGGTCTCTCTCACAGATGAGAATGTTTTAAATGCATTCTCATTTAGGTACTATTTTATTCCAAATTAAAAAAAGAAAATGTTTAAACTAGAAATTAACTATTATAACTCCTTATGAAAATGATAATATGTATCTTCTTTCCATATCTATAAAGGACAGCCTGGATTCTCTCTAGACAGGCTTTAAAGATGCTGGATGAAAAGTTTCAATTTTTCCCTAAAACAGGCAAGTAATCACTGCTTTGTTTTCCACACCATTTATTCATTTAAGACATACTTTAACCCTAACACACACTCTAACCCTAATCCTCACCCTAACCCTAACCCTTTTCTCTTTTTTCCCCCTTTTTCTCCATTGGATTTAATGAATTGCCTTCACTTTCCTATTTATTTTCAGTCTAGGAATGCTTTTAGCCTAGTGCAGAAAGTATTTTATTTTCTTCATGTACCATCCTCCAGTTTATTCTAGCTTTCTGCTATTTTCCTTCTAGGACTTTTACCCCATCCTGAGTCACAATTCTTTCACATTTCATCTAAATAATGATGTGCAATTCAAGACTTATAACTATTTATAGGAATGTACTATTATTTCAAGTAGTGAATTATACAACAATTGGATAATACAGCTATTGAAGCTTACATAGTTTTGTTGTTAATGTTTTCTTGGAAATGTTATGTTCTACCTAATTCTTTCCTTTCTTTGGTCAATAATTTGCTTCTTACTTGTTATCTTTTCACTGCCAAAGGAAGGATCCCTAGAGACTCCACACCCTGGCAAAGTATGTGATGTATTTTCTGATTTTGTGATAGCGCCTTCTATATTCCAAAGCGTAATATTTAGTCCAGTTAAAAACTAAAAAAACTAAAAACTGACTTCCCCTGTTTAATACAGCAAGTTCAGAGAGCAACAAGAGTAGAGGTCCACCGTGCAAGCTGTGATTAAGTTGGGATATGCCTTGCTGAATGACATTGGCTGTGGTAAAACGTGACACCAATGGCTGCAGGAACTTTAGGTCTGACATGAGTCACTCTGCGTCAGGAAGTCAAGTAAAAGTTTTATGCTAGAAAAAAGCTGTAAATAGTTTTTCTATGTGTCTCTTCTCAAAGATTGGACAAAAAAAATTATTAACAAAACACAGCATATCAAATTACAAGTTCTCCTAATATGAGACCATACAGTGGGACATCAACAATGTTGTAACGTTTTCCCTGAGTTCTTTGTAGTCTAGGTGTGCAAACTATTGGGCCTATATTGAAGCCATATTCATTATGTAAGATTGTATCTAATAACCAGAACTGCACAGATGAAGACAGAGCTTCTAGTTGGGCTAGCTGGAAATCCAACTAATGAAACCATTGTGTCACAAGAACAAGCCAGAGGTGACCTGTGACTGGATTCTTGTCCCTAAACACAATGCTAGGTCCATCTGTAATGCCCTGGCCTTTCTTACCTGCCCTGAGATATCAGTCCAGGAGCAAGTTTTGATTTTACTTGGCATTTTTATGTCAGTGTATGCTGAACTAATGCTGTTTGAAAGCCATGACTTTCTAGCATTTCATAGAGAAATATTTACCTTATATTGTAGAAGAAGGTTATTCTGGGAATTTTATTTATCCAGAAATTTGATTTTTCTAAAGGCCATGGCCATAAACTCTTGAGATTTTACACCCCATAAGCAGGCAGAAGCTTGTATATTTTCTAATCAGTCTTTGTTTTCCCTTTTTTCCCCTTTTCCTCTATTCTTTTTTGTTTGTAATGACTGCCATATTGCCTTCCAATTTCCCACAGTTCAGGTGCTTCCATTCTCCAGCAAAAGGAGACAATTGACTAAATCTTTGCATAAAGCTGAAATTGTAATCAGAGCAGTAAGAAAATCTGGTCCATAGGTTTCTATACGAAAAGACTTGTCCTTCATATATTTGATCATTAAAGAAATCTAATTCTTATTTTGTTCTAGATGCATAGATCAGGTAAAATTGTATGTATTTATCTTTAACCACCTCTGATGTCAGAGGACATTAGAGTGCAAGGACTTTATTGTGAGTAAACAGAGAGTAGATGTTCTCTGTCTTTGGGTTTTGTCACTTACAACTCTGGAAACTTTTCAAACTAAATATCTCTCTCATCCAATGACCAATCAGAATTATAACCTGAATTACACAACGCCTTCTAAAAGGGAACATAAAAATCTAAGTAACCTCTACAAAGTTGCTGTACTTTAAAACACTGGAGATAAATAATCTTCCATGGTGACTTATACAGTATTGTCCAAAGTTCTCTGGGGTAGGGGTTGCACAGGATACGCTGCTGCACTCAGTAGTTGTATTGCATCATCTGTGCTGAATTCAGACTGAGTCTTGAATGCTGAAGTACATGCCTAGGCTTTATAAAACCTCACAGTTTTAAAAAAAGAAAAATATCTTTTGAGACAGTATCACTGTTATTAAAAATCTTGATTACCTGAAACATTTCTTCCAAATTCAGAATATACAGGGAGTTCAGAAAGGGAATTATTCAGGGATTTGAACAGATCCCTCATTGATACTGACATAAATTGAACATTAAGTTAGAAGTGGAAGATTTAGGGATCAAAAGCACCAATATTTGTTTTTAAAGTGGAAATCTCTGAGATTTGCAAAATCACTGGATACTTGTTCTGAAATTCTCTATGCTCTGGCAATCTTCCTTATGGCATTGCATTAATGGCAGTAGAACAGAAAGAGTGGCCGCTGTTTAGTGTGATGGGGAAAGGCAGACACATCAGAAATGAGGCAGAACTGGTGTGAAATTCATGCTTTTTTTGCCCATCCAAATTGAGAGTCCAAATCTTGGTAGAATGTGCAAGTCCTCCTAACTCTAATTGCAAAGTACTGAAGTAAAAATGACAAGATTTTTAAGGCTACAGAGCAAATTCCTTTGCCTTTTTGCAGGACACTGACTATCCCGCATTTCTGAAAATCCAAGTGTTCCTTTAATGTGATTACCAGTATCTCTGAGCAAAATTAACATTTCTTCAGTTTCTCAGTCATTATAAAATTTCTGTAATATTTATACTCATGGAATGAGACAGTAGACACATGGATATCTATCTATTTGAGTTTGAAATCTGTTAATGAAAAATCTTTCCCTTTGCAACAGGGGCAATTACAGTGTACAAAGATATGTCTTGGAATATATTTCTCCAATCTCTTAATTCTTGTGGTAAGTGACAGGATTTAAGGAAATGACACGAAGCAGAGCCAGGGGAAGTTTAGGTTGGGTATCAGAAAAAGGTTTATCACCCAGAGGATGGTTGGGCACTGGAACAGGATTCCCAGGGAAGTGTTTGTAGCACCAAGTCTTCCTGAGTTCAAGAACCATTTGGAACACATTCTTAGGTTCATGGTGTTGCTCTTGGGGTGTCCTGTGCAGAGCCAGGAGCTGAACTCAATGATCCTTGATTCCAGCACCATGGAATCCCTTCTGTGCTTCTGTGACTTCCATCTCACAATGACATTTCAACAGTACAAGAATAAATTGTGACAGTGGGTGAGTTTAGGCTGCTGCATTTCATCTTGAAAGTTGGGGGCAAGGGGTGCCGTCCAGAGAGACTTGAACCATCCAGAGA